AGTAATTTGAGCAGCAATTCTGAGGTCAGGATCCAAGGTTCTAGGCCAGCTCCAGCCCAGCCTGCTCTGACCAGAATGTATTTCTTCCAGACTCTCAGGGTCTTGGTTTCAGCCATTTGGGGGACAAGAGACGAAGATGAGAAGAAAGGCAACAGACAAGAGAGATGGAAACTTTTTAATATGTCCTTAAAAGCCTCTTTATAGAGATGAGTAATAAAAAGATTGGGGCCAGCAAACATTTCCACATTTTCTCTAAACAGTTATAAAACTGAGAGTCTTCTAAGGTCAGAGTTAAAGTAGTACAGCCTTGTTTTTGTATTTTAAATGTTTTTTTAATGGAACATTAAAATAGCCTCAGTACCAGTAAAAGGTGTGCACAGGAGTATTATTTGATTCAGGAGAGAGGTAATGGGACCCACCAAGTAGGCAGGTTACACAGTTCAGATGTGAACCCTCACCAATGCAAAGGAAGTCTCTCTGCCCCGCCCCCTCTCACATACACATTTTTTCTCTCCTCCTCCAATCAAGAAATGATATTCTGTGAGATCATTTATTTTCTTTTTTATTTTTATTTATTTTATGTATGTATGTGTCTATGTATCTATTTATTTATTTATTTATTTATTTATTTATTTATTTTTGAGACGGATTCTCGCTCTGTCACCTAGACTGGAGTGCAGTGCGTGATCCCAGCTCACTGCAACCTTCACTTCCTGAATTCAAGTGATTCTCATGCCTTAGCCTCCCGAGTAGCTGGGATTACAGGCATGCACCACTATACCCAGCTGATTTTTGCATTTTTAGTAGAGATGGGGTTTCCCCATATTGGCCAGGCTGGTCTCCAACTCCTGACCTTAAGTAATCCACCCACCTCAGCATTCTAAAGTGCTGGGATTAATAATCCAGGGGTGAGCCACCATGCCCGGCTCATTTAATTTATTTTTACCAGTTAGAATTTGTTACTCTCAATTCATTCAAAAATCATTAATAGACAGTACCTACCAGCCAGAACTGTTGTTAAGTATTGAAAATACAGCATTGGATGAAACAAATAACTCTACCCTCAGAGAGCTTATATTCTAGTCTAGAGAGACAGACAAATAAATGAGTAATATACACAGGAGGTAAGAAAGTGATTTCAGCACTTTGGGAGGCCAAGGCCAGCAGATCACAAGGTCAGGAGTTCAAGACCATCCTGAACAACATGGTGAAACCCCGTCTCTACTAAAAATACAAAAAATAGTAGGGCGTGGTGGTGGTTGCCTGTAATTCCAGATACTCAGGAGGCTGAGGCAGGAGAATAACTTGAACCCAGGAGGTGAAGGTTGCAGTGAGCTGAGATCACACCATTGTACTCCAGCCTGGGCAACAGAGCAAGACCTCCGTGTCAAAAAAAAAAAAAAAAAAAGTGACATAGGAAAAAAATTCAGTAAGGAAGGGAGTAAAGTATACATGGGGAGGAGGGGAAGAAGATGGAGGAAATACAGTTTTAAATACGGAGGGCAGGGAAGGACTTGCTGAAGTGAAATTTGAATAATCACCTGAGGGAAATGAAGGAAATAGCATTTCAGGAAATAGCAAACAGAAAAGTTCTGGGTCAGAGGTATGTTCAATGCACTCAAGGGGTGGCAAAGAACATGACGTCAAAAGGTCAGTAGGGAGCCATGCAGATTTGGCTGTTTCTGAATGAAAGTGGAGTAGATGGGGAGTTTTTGAAAAGTCATGGTTGCGCACGGTGGCTCACCCCTATAATCCAAGCACTTTGGGAGGCCAAGGCGGGTGGATCACCTGAGGTCAGGAGTTCGAGACCAGCCTGGCCAACATGGCGAAACCCCGTCTCTACTAAAAATAGAAAAATTAGCCAGGCATGGTGGCGAGTGCCTATAATCCTAGCTACTCAGGAGGCTGAGACAAGAGAATCACTTGAACCTGGGAGGTGAAGGTTGCAGTGAGCAGAGATTGTGCCATTGTCTTCCAGGCTAGATGACAGAGCAAGAGTTTGTTGAAAGAAAAAAGAAAGAAGGAATAAAGGAAGGGAAGGGGAGGGGAGGAGAGGGGAGGGTCTTGAGGTGACCTGATTTCCATTTTTAAAGGACAGAGCTGACATGGGCAGGAAAGGCAGGGAAACCAGCTCTGTGGCTGCTCCAACATTTCAAGAAACTCTGGTGGTAGCTAGGAGCAGATGGCTAGAGATGGCGGTGATAGGAAGTGGTTAAATTCCAGATAGCCAGCAGGATACTCTGATGTTTAGATGACCCCATGGAAGACAGCAGTCAAGAATGACCCCATGGTTTTTGGCTTAAGAACTGGAAGGAAGAATCTGCCATAAATCAAGATGGGATTCGTTGTAAGAAGAGGAGGTTTAAAGGGGAGATATGGAATCTGTTTTGGGTTTTTTTTTTTTTTTTTTTTTTTGAGACAGGATCTCACTCAGTCTCCCAGGCTGGAGTGTAGTGGTGTAATCATAGCTCACTGCAGCCTCAACTTCTCAGGCTCACACAATCTTCCCACCTCAGCCTCCCCAGTAACTGGTACTACAGGCATGCACCATTATGTCCAGCTAAGTTTTGTATTTTTTGTAGAGACAGGGTTTCTCCACTGCCCAGACTGGTCTCGTACTCCTGGGCTCAAGTTACCTGCCCACCTCAGCCTCCTAAAGTGCTGGGATTACAGGCGTGAGCCACCACCTCCAGCCCAGGATTTGGCTTTAGACATGTTATGTTTGGGAAAGTTCTTAGAAATCCAAGTGAAGATGTCAAGTAGCAGTTGGACGGACACTTCTGGAGTTCAAGGAGAAAGGGAGCGATAGATGGTGTTTAAAGCCATGACTCCAGATGTCAATTTGAGAAAGGAGAGAAGTCCAAGGACTGAATCTGAGGAGCTCCAGCTCTGAGAGATTGTGGAAATGTGGAGCAACCAGCAGAGGAGACTGAGCAGGCGTGTATTGAACCTATTTCCGGATCAAAACAGAGATCTACTACATTCCTTTTGGTGGTGTCAAAACAAACCATTATCTTGAAATAGTCACAAAAAAAAAAAAAGAAAAAGAAAGAGAAAAACCAGGGGGGCAAAGTATGTCAAAAGCTGGGTCAAGGGAGGTCTCAACTTTCCATTTGAATGATCACTGAGGTCAAATGGGGCGAAATGGTCACATAAGATAAAAACTGAAAACTAACATTGGATTTAGCAATGGTCCCAGGTAAGATTAATGAAGGCTGACTGCTACTGTAATATGGGAACTAGCCTGAGAGAAATCAATCAAGGTTTAGCTAAATAATTAGAAATTAGGAAAAAAATCTTATCATCTCCAGTTGTCCTTTGTTTCATAAATCTTACCTTACAGGCCAAAGGCTATAAATTCTCTTTTATCTATCCCTTACGCAAAAAAACAAAACAAAACAAAAAAACAGAGATTTTTATGTTCTCTCCAGTGACAAACTTATAACAATAGTAACACTTCTTAGCTAATAACAGGAGGTTTAACTATTTTTCACTTTTCTAGACTTCAGGAAATTATAGATGACTTTTTTCTTCATTAAAAATAAACTTTTGTTTCTTTTCCAAATTATAACTGGAATTCAAAAATGTATATTTCCATTGACAATTTTGACTTGAGTTTTTGGTTTCCATTTACTCTCTCCTTCCCGCTGCTTCTGAAGGTTTTCTCTGTTTGTGGGATCATCTCTGATTTCTGTCTTTTTATCTCCCTGCAATCTCTGACTCCTCCCCTGGTCCTCATTCTGCATCATCATAGTCAGTTTTATCTTGGGCACCATAAAATTCTACTTCTTCCCACAGTAGCAGACTGATGTCACCCACAGAACATAACGGATTCTAGGAACAGGCCCACAGAGGAAAAATGGGTAAGTATAAAGAGACGTAAGAGGAAGGGAGAAGCTGGAGGCTAGGGAGCTTAACTATGTGTTTCCCCTCGTTTCCACGTAAAACAGTTAAACCAGAAACTCCAGGATACTGAAATTCCATGTCAACAAAATTGGGCCAAACTTTTACCTAATTTGACACGCTGAATAGAAACACTATGGTAATATCTATGCATCCAAATTGTTGCTACTGGTTGGGAGCCAACACATTAAAATGCAATCAGGCTGGCGCGGTGGCTCACGCCTGTAATCCCAACACTTTGGGAGGCCGAGGCAGGTGGATCAGTTGAGGCAAGGACTTCGAGACCAGCCTGGTCAACATGGTGAAACCCTGTCTCTACTAAAAATACAAAAATTAGCCAGGCATGGTGGTGCAAACTTGTACTCCCAGCTACTCAGGAGGTTGAGGCGGGAAAATCACTTGAACTAGGCAGGTGAAGGTTGCAGTGAGCCAAGATCACGCCACTGCACTCCAGCCTGGGCGAGAGTGAGTCCTTGTCTCAAAAAAAAAAGAAATGCAATCAAATAACCCATTTGGAGAATAACTTTCTATTTGCATAAATTTTCCAAACTGGTTTGTGTGTATAGAAATTCTCTACTTCTCAATGGCTGAGAGGACAAACCAAAATAGTGACAGTTTGTAGGATCTTTTTGGAAAGCTATCATAATCCTAACTTTAAAGCACATCAACAGTGTAGTTAATGACTGTGTTACTATGCTAGCAGTGTAGTGGGTATGTTAAAAAGCCGAAAACTTCTGATTTATATTCATTATGGTGAATCGCAGAATATGATCAGCAAATAAAAGTTACTACATGTTCAACATTAGATCTGATGATTTGGTGTTCTTGGCTCTTTTAAAAAATTATGACTGAGAATAAAGGAAAGGTACACACTCTGGATGCAATGAAATGAATTATTTTATTAGTCTATTGGTCTTATTAGAACCTAGTAGCTCCAGAAAATCCTTAACAAATGTTTTTCTCCTGCAATATCCTCTAAAAGAGAAAAAGCAGTAAAGCACAGAAACATCATACTGCTCAGAACCCTTATAAATAGTTTCTGAATGTAAGCATTTTTAGAGTTAAGTATTTTAACGTGTCTTCAGCACTTAAAAATATTTTAAAATTATTTAATTTAATATTTAATTTTTAAATGCCAAAGACGCATTAAAATAAGTACTATCTGTTGAAAACAACATTTGAATTCTAGAGTTTAGTCCTTTCCATTTGGTGAATTTGATGCATTGAAAAGAAATAAAAGAGAATTTTTTTTCTACAGTTTGGCAATTTTGAACTATAATTTTTTTATTCTGGTGAAAACATTTTGCAGAAAATTATGGAAACATACATAGGGACCCTGCAGTAATATTATAGATTTCTTAAAAAAAAAAAAACCGTTGCAATATAGACATGAAAATTGAATTCAAGATTAGGAAGTAAACTGAGAAAAAAATATTTAAAAATAATGCAGTTTAAATGTGTCATTGACTCGACATTTCCCGCATATTCTAAATCAATATTAACATCAATAATACATTTCAGAGTGCATCTGTTTTTGCCATTGCTAATTTTTCTCTATTATGCCAGAGTATGAGTAAGATTTTTGCTGTTTTTTAAAAAGGCTACATTAAGATTCAGCCTCAAAAGAGGTTCAATTCCTAGTAACTGCAGGTGCATGGCACTTACTGCTAATTGGACATGACTGCTTTTAGCAAATCTGGTAGCTGCTAAAAGCCACTGTTGCTGTGGTGCTGCCTCACCAGCACGCAGGGCATGGTACCTGTTCACTACCAAAGCTCCATGTCCACAAAATTTGCCAACTAAAATACCCAGCCAACTCCTTCACTTAAATGCATAGAGACAGAAATCTCAAAGAGCTATCAACAAGGTCTCTGCAAGAAAATGCAGCCCTCTTAATGCATATTAAATAGTCCCATTAAAATAGTTCAGTAATGCATCTTTCTGTTAGAATCTGTTGTTCTGAGCCCTATAACCATGTAGGGTAGTTTTCAAAATAAAATGCTGCTATTAGCACATTAAATAATTATCTTCTCTCCTGTGTGCCATACCCACTGGCTGGTACACTGTAGTTCTGGAAAATATTGTGAACCAAGTTATATCTGTGTCTCATATCATCTTTTGTGTTTATGTAGGATGTTTGTTCTGAGAAAACTAAAAATACTTTGTTTAAATTGGATCACACTTTACCAGTTAAGTGAACCTTACCAGGTAAGTCTCCTGGTTTGGATATTAACTCTTTCCATTTGGGCTTCTTTTTCCCCTAAATTTCTACCTTTAGTAGAAGTGTTCACTTTTATCAACAGTGATTTCATAAAACATTCAATGTCTGACAGAACAGCCATCAGAGCACCATTGCTCTCATTCATTTTCCAAGACCCTGTATCTTATTCTTAGCATTACATGCATTCTATGATGATAAGCTGGGTTATCAGAAAGGAGTCACGGGGAACATGTGAGAAGAGGAAAATCCAGAATTAGTAACATTAAAATAATCTAACTTTTACTCTCAAAGAGATAATGAAGGAATTGCCTGGCTGTATAATTATGGACCAAATATATGTAAATATTATACAAGTGAGCATTTGTTTCCTCCTGTTTTCTAGTTTGACCCCATAAACCATAGGCCTCAAAAAATCCCAGTACAGAGCCTTCCCCTAAAGAAGTTAATATCACCAATTTTAGGCAAATTTGTCCAGGATCATATGGCAAAGTCAGGCTCAGCCAAAAATTGAGGCCACTAATGCTGATGCCAAGCTGATTAATGTTTCTTTAAATGTCTAAATTGTCTATCAAATGCTATTCTAAGTGTCTGAAGACTAGTACTCAGACTCTTACAGCATTTAAACTTCAGTTCTCCAATGCTGTCTGCTTTTACTGCATTTCGCATAAAAACAATATTTTTTCTCTATTTGGGTTAATTTTCCAGGTTCTCCTCAAATAATCATTGGGCTTCTGGAACAAAAGCTTACAGAAACAAGATGAACAATTTGAACTCTGACTTTTGTTTTCTATTTGTGAGAACATGATTTTTTTTTTCAACTTTCTAATCACAGTTATAAAATTAAGCCTGATTTTCAGAACGAAGTTTACCTGATTGTCAATGACTTCTCAAGTCCCCTATTTTCAAAAATGGCACATTTGATGGCAAAATACAAAATCTGTCTGAAAAGGTCTTGTTTTACTGTTAGCATTCGAGAAGAAACTTCTACTTCAAGAAAATCAAAGGATTGTCTCTCACCCTAAAGGAAAACCATTTTGGAAAGCTTGGCAAAGATATACCTGGTCATTTACAGTTTTTTTATTAGAAACTTGGGAAATGTTCTTCACTAAAAGAAGCCTTTTAAAATCCCTAGAGAAGTAGGTCCCTTGCTCACCGGCATTATGGGAACATTGACCCAAATATGGGAAGGAGGAAACGAATACCACCTCTCCCCCTTGCCCACCATCCCACTAAACATACTCTACAAATTACCAGTCACCAACTCTCCATCAGTGTCCAAACTGCCATTAAATGCCCTTGCTGAGAATGATTGATTACACAGCATCGATTATCAGAGACAGTAACAAAGATAACTTTTACTTTCTGGAAAACTTTTGCCATAGGAAAAAGTATACTCACAAGTGTACAAAAAGAAAAAATCAATCCTGTAAATGTGAATATACATAACCAGAGCTGAATTTTTTTCATGAAGAGTTTGAATATATAAAACCTTGAATCTACATGAAAAAATAAACCATGAAGAAATATCCTAAAAAGCAAGTATTAGTTTACATGACGCAATATGAAATGTATCTAAGTGTCTTTCTCTGATAACGCGCATCTATGCTCATGTCTCCCTTCCTTGTTCCTATTATATTTAAAACCTGACATGTCACACAATTAGCATCTTATGTAAATCATATTTCATAGCATTTATTAGCTGAGTGTTGAAATCATATTTGTTATGTAACCATAAGATGTTCTATAGGATAATCCTGTTCACTAATCACTAGAGGTCTCTACAACTTGTTTCTCAATGAGATTGTAAGATCTGTGTTGACAGAGATCTATCTAGCAGTTCTTTTTCTCCCATGGAGCTAAATTTATCACAGCGGCACAGCAAGCTGCCTCTCTGCCTGCCTCCCAGACTGGGGACTCTATGATCCCCTTCCTCCAGAGTAATATGGAGACACAGGGTGACCCAGCTAGAATTCATTTTCCAAGTCCTCCCTGCAACTAAAAGTGGATTGCCAATGTATTTTGAGAAGTAATGTGTACAGTTTCCATGTTTATTGCTTAAGAGGAAATGCCTATGGAGAAAGGTTGGTCAGCAGGTACAAAGTTGCGTTAGATGGGAGGAATAAGTTCTGGTGTCCCATTGCACAGCAGGGTGACTGTGGCTAGCAATAATGTATTGTATATTTCAAACTAACTAGAAAAGAGGATTTTGAATGCTTTACCACTGAGAAATGATAAATGTTTGAGATGATGGATTTGCCCATTACCCTGATTTCATCATTACACAATGCATACACGTCAAAACCTCTCATTTTATCTCATGAATATGTACAGTTATTATATTTGATTAAAGTAAAAATAATTTTTAAAAAAATGGCTGACTCTCTTGTCCACTTTTTCCCCTTTTCCACAAGCTTTTTTTTTTTTTTATCTTTTCCCAAAAGCAATTTCCCAAGTATTTGAGTATCCTTTTTCTTTTCCCACGGTAGCTTATCCTATGGCCTAATATACACAGCTTATTGTATAATACCTGCCTCTATTTCATGTCCATTATGCTTATTGATTTATGTGTGTGTCTCCCTTAGTAGACTATATATTACTTGTGAGCAATGTGTGTTTCTTATTCAACCTTCTTCTCTCTAACACTTAAAGTTCATCTAGCATACAGTAAATGCTGAATAAATGCCAATTGAATAAATAAATGAACCAATCAACTTCTTCACTTAGCAAATGGATATACTATGTATTAAGGCAAATTTAGACACAGTCTCTATGCCTGCATGTTTCTTAGAAATTTGAAAGCTTTTACCATATTATCTGGAGCTCTACTTCAATACCTTTAGGAAGTTGAACTTCAAGCTTTATAATAACATAAACTCAATTTGCCTTTTATGGGTCAAATCCACTTTTACTGAACTATTTTTTACCTATCATATTGGCCAAGATGGGAAAGTGTGATAACACACCGTGTTAAGTTGGAAAGGCTGTGGGCTAACAGGCACTCTCATCCCTGTTGATAGTATATAGCAGTATAACTTAGTTTTTCCTATGAATATCTTCACAAATGTACTCAAGAACAATTGTACATGGATGTTCACGGCATTACTTATAAGAGCAAAACCAACCAAAATGCCCTTTTAGAGAAAAGCTGTTTATATGAATGATGGTACATCCTCACAAAAAATACTCTGCTAAAAGTTAAAAGAATGAGGCAGGTCAACCTGTTCTATAGCAACTGCTCTAAGGTATATTACTAAGTGAAAAAGAATGATACAAAATAGTATACTCCTAGATGTGTTTTAAAAAATATATATCTAGGGATACATCATATGTGCATAGACAATTTTCAAGGACTATAGGAAAAAAATTGTGATCTAGGAGGCTGTCTGGAGCTGGAAAATACTTTCTCCACGCTGTTTTAATTTTACTTTTATTCCATGAATAAGTTACTTTTTTCAGTAGTTTTACCACTTCATACCTATTATGACAAAACAGATAATAACAAGTGTACATGGCAACGTAGAGAAATTGGAGCCCTCACACACTGGAATGTAAAATCAGGCAGGCATTTGGCAGTTCCTGGAAATGCTAAATATAGAGTTACCATTTGACTCAGAAATTTCTCTAACGGGCACATGCTCAAGAGAATCAAAGATGTGTGTCCACACAAAAACTCACACACAAACATTCATGGCAGTTTTATTTGTAATAGCCAAAAAGTGGAAACCCAAATGTTCATCAACTCATGAATGAGAAAGTAAAATGAGGTCTATATCCATACAATGAAATTTTATTTGGCAATAAAAAGAATGAAGTTCTGATACATGCTGCAACATAAATGACCCTTCAAAACACTATACCAAATGAAGTAAGCCCAGACACAAATGCCCACATATTGTGTTGTTCCATTTATATAAAATGGCCAAAATTAGATTCCATGGAGACAGAAAGGAATTAATTGTGGCAATGATTACACAACTCTGTGAATGTACTGAAAACCACTGAGCTTTGTACTTTAAATGGGTGAATTTTATATTTTTATGCAAAATATATCTCAATAAAACTGAAAAAAATAGTTTTAGAAGCATTATCATGTACATGGTTACACCTGATCTTCGTATCCATTCTGAGAGGTAATGGTTGCAAAAAGCAGATGAGATTGTGTAGACGACAAAACCCAAAAAGAAAAACAGCAACATCTTTAACTTTAAAGAAAGTCTATCATCATAAACCTGGGTGTTTACCTTTCAGAAATATTTCTGTAGTAAAAGAAAAACTTTACTCATGGTTTGCCTCCCACAACCCATCTGCCTATTCAATGATTCATTCATTGGAAACTCTTCCAGTCACCCAGAATGTATTCGTGCTGCACTCACTGAATCTCCCAGTGTTCCCTCAGCTTCACAATCTAAGAGCTTTCTGGGTACAAAATGTTCTATCCATCACACTTTCAATTTATGAACTACTAATTGGCTAAAAAGGAAAGGGGATTTTAGATCCTCGATCAGTCTGCATTTTAAAACCATTCACTTAAAAGAGACATACGTGTGTATTTTTTGTAGATGACAATATTGATGTGTGGGACAACACAAGGAAGAGCAACCTAAGAATGGATAGCTTGTGCTAGAAAATCAATTACAAAATCTTAGATGGCTTTTCCTCCCTGCCAGGTGTCATTCCAGCAGGTTGCATACATTAACTCATTTAATGCCACCACATCCATTATTAACTATATTTTACAGATGAGAAATCTGTGGTTGTGAGGAGCTTGCCCAGTGGCATGCATGCAGCTAGCAATGGCCACAGCCAGGATTGGCACCAAACACTTGACTCCAGAATTCCTGCTCTTGACCACTATTCTACCCACTCCATATCTAAATCCTAGTCTGTTATGTAAAACACATTTGACATAGTGTGTTTTATCTCATAATACTTTAAAGTTAAATTAAATTCGTATTGTCACCCTAATTCATACATTTTTCCACCTCATTCAGACTCAGTTAAGATCATCTTTGTATTACAAATAACATTACAGTCTCAACTACCATATCACATGTAATCATGATCACATTAGCTGTTAAACAGCTTTGATTGATACCTTTTCTCTGTATTTTTATGTAAAATACACCTGAGGTATTAAAAGTTTTGACTTTTGTGTTCAGGTGAATAAGGTTGGTTATAAAACACAAAAATAATCATGGCTCATTTAAGACAATCACTGAAGCCCCTCATTGTTGTTGCAGGGACAATTTAAAGTTATCATCTTCTTCATGAGCTATGTCTAAAATGACACAAACCCCACAAATTTAATTTAGTGTTCTCATTAGAGAAGATAAGTTGAAAAATTAAAACAAGAATTATCATCTGATCCTGCAATCCTAATCCCCTTTCTGTGTATATATCCAAAACAATTGAAAGCAGAGTTCTCAAAGAGATTTGCACACTGTGTTCACAGCAGCATTATTTACAATAGGCAAGAGATGGAAGCAACACAAGTGCCTACCAACAGATGAATGGATAAACAAAATGTGATATAGACATAAAAGGGAGTATTATTCAGCCTTGAAAAAGAAGAAAACCCTGTCATGTGCTGCAACATGGATGAACCTTGAGGACATTGTGCTCAATGAAATTATCCAGTTACAAAAAGACAAATACCATATGACTCCATTTACATGAGGTATCTAAAGTAAAATTCACAGAAACAGAAAGAATAATGGTGGTTGTTAGGCGTTGAGAGGAGAAGGAAATGGGGAGGCAGTTGTTGGTAAATGGGTTAGAGTTTCAGTTTTACAAAATGAAAAGGCTTTTGGAGATGTGTGGAATATGCTTAACACTAGTAAACTGATTTTTTTTTAAATCAAGATGGTAAAATTTATATGTTTTTACCACAATTAAAAATAATATAACTTTTTTAATTAATGACTTTTAGTTTTACCTCAATGATGAAAGTCTCTGGTAAAGTTTGAGGCCTTGAATATAGGTGTCAGAATGTGAAAAATATAAACTTGTGACATACAAAACTTACCAACAGTGTCTTAGAGTTTGGGATGATGGATGGTTGATTATTTAAAACTTAATGATCATGATTATATATGTCATAATTTGTGAATATTTAGTCTAACGATAAAATGAAGGTTTGTTTTCTTCCAAATTATGCTAAAATAGATTGCTAGTCCTGAAAATGTAGTTTTTTATGGATTCCTTGAATCATTTCCATAGGATAAATGTGCTGATAACACCCATTAATTAAAGTCAGTGGATGTCCCATAAGCAGCAATGCCACAGTAAGCAAGCAAAGCTATACCATGCATATATATCTCGGGCAAATGTCACACTCAGGTCAGAAAGAGACCAGCTGAGAAGCCAGGGATGGCTGGGATAGGATGGCAAGTGGGAAAAGAGAAGGAAGACAATAGCATTAGAAGGTAGATGAGATCAGGCTAGATAGGACCTGGAATTTTATGTTGAGCATTTGAACTATTTTTATAGAAGCTAAGGAAAAAATAAAGTTTTTTTTATTAAGGAAAGGACATAATCATGTCTGTGTATAAGATGAATAACTAGTGGCATGGTGGGAGATGAACTTTGATGGAGAAAGACTAAGAGCAGGGAGAGCTGTGAGGAGGCTACTTCAACAGCCTGGACAAGACACAATGGAAGGATGAAAATGGACTAAACCTTTAGTGCTGGGACAACTGGATAGCCACATGCAAAAGAATGGACTTGAACTTCTACCTCACACCATATACAAACCATTAATTCTAAATGAATCAGACCTAAATATAAGAGCTGAAACTGTAAAACTCTTAGAAGCAAACATAAGTGTAGGTGTCCTGACCTGGGATTAAACAGTAGTTTCTTGGGTGTGCACATAAAGCACAAGTAACCAAAGGAAAAGATATACATACTGTTCTTTAACACAACTAGAAACTTTTGAGTATCTAAGGACACTATCAAAGTGAAAAGACTCACAAAATGGGAGAAAATGTTTACAAATAATATATTTGATATGGGTCTACTATCCAGAATATATAAAGAAACAACTCAACAATAAAATTTAAAATCATCAAATTTTTTAAAGGAAAAAAATTGAACATACATTTTCTCAAGGAAGATATGCAAATGGCCAATATGCTTGAAAATACGCTTAACATCATTCATCGTTAGGGAAATGCAAATCAAAACTGCAAGAAGATACTACTTTAAAGGCACTGGGATGGCTATAGTTAAAGACAATAACAAATATTGGTGAAGATGTGGAGAAATTGAATCCTTATGCATTGCTGGTAGGCATATAAAATAGTGCAGCCCCTTTGGGAACTATTTTGAAGGTTTCTCAAAAAGTTAGATAAACACATAGTTACCATAT